GGCGACCGGCCCGGCGAGGCGCTGCCCGTCCTCCTGCCGGCCCTGGCCCAGCGCCTCTGCCCGCCGCAGGGCTCTGAGCCCAGCGAGGAGCTGCGCCTCGGCCTGCTCCAGCTCCTGAGCCTGCTGCTGCGGCGCTGCGGGGCCGCCGTGGTCCCCTACCTCACCGAGGTTATCCGCATCCTCCAGGCCACCCTCCTCGACCAATATGCCGAGGTCAGGCGGGAAAGTTGCAGGTGCGCCGTGGCCTGCGCCCAGGCCATGCCAGGTGGGGCCTGGGGATGGGCGCCGGGGGGAGCGGTGGGCCCATGTGAGCCTGCAGCCTCCTGGGGGTCAGGGGCAGGGGTAGGGACCGATGGGAGGTTACAGGGATGCAGCTGGGAGAGAGCAAGAGAGATGAGAAGCTGCACACATCCTCCGAGGTGCGCCTTGCAGGCCTTGGAGGATCTGTTGGAGAGGAACCGTGCCAGGGGTGGATGCTGAGCAGTTACAGCATGGGGGTAATAGTGGGAGGAGGGGGTTGGAGGAGGCCGAGTGTGCTGGTGTTCAGCTCTAATATAGTATAAAGTTAAATCTGAATGTTGGATGAATTCAGCAACATTTGTCAGGCTGCGATTCAGTGTTACAGAAATCGTGTCACTCGAGATCTGTCACCCACATAGAGAAAGGCACGTTTGAAGTTTCTGTCTTTCTGCCCTAACAGAGCACTTCCATATGCAGTCAGAATCTCTGATAAAACCCTTAATGCAAACAATTTCACACCAGCACTACAGAGTTCGCGTTGATGTAATTCAGGCTACTGGAGCAGTGATACAGTTTGGAAATGGAAAGTCTGTGGATGATGTTCTGTCTCATCTGGCCCAGAGATTATTTGATGAGATCCCCAAGGTGTGTTTTTCTTCTTTTTTTTTTTTTTTTTTTTCCCTAGATTTATTTTGAATCTGTTTTGGGGTGGGTTTTTTTGGTGTGTCTGCCCCCCCTGCCCCCTTAGTTTTCAGCTTTCATTCATTCAGTTGAGATAAGTAAATATATCTCATACAGGCTTTGTCGATTGTAAGCTATCCAAAACCAAGGTTGGTGACCTATTCAGCTGCTGTCTAATTCTGATGGCTTGTTGTGGTTTGTTGAAGTTTGTAGGCACACTTTTCTTTTAGTGGGTGCCTTCAATTCTGTCTTAAATTCTTCTGTCAAATCTCTCTGGGACTTGATTCTATGGCCTTTCCAGATGTTTAACAAACACTTACGGTATTGGTCCCTTCATAACATGCAATCGAGACAGTAATTTACAATGTGCAGCCTAATCATAACTAAAATATTTTGAGTGGGTGTATTCACATTGTTTAACTTGGGCTTCCTTCATAGTGAACAAAGAAAATTGTCTTCTGGAGATGTGCTTGAAAAGTTTCAAATTCCAGAGAAATGTGCATTTCTTACATTCTCAGAGAGAAACTAACCATGAGAATTTAGAGTTTTCCGAGTTAGGTCTCTATCTTGTCTTCCTCTTGGAGATGTGCTTTTGTGCAGCAAATAGTCTAAGACTAACTAAGCCAGAGTGAGAACACAAGAGGGAGCATGACACCTTGGGTGTTACTTAAGATGCTTGCCATAAGTGAGGAAATCCTGGGTTGTTGTAATTTATCCTGAGACTGTTGATGCACCTTACCAAGTGTTATATACCAAAAGCAATTTTTTTTTTTTCTGGTATTTTCTTGGCATATTTAAAAGTCTTTTTGTATCCCTGTAGGTCCGGCACGCTGTAACAACTGTCATTGGAGAATGGTTGTTGCACCTACGAGATAGATATTCGTATTTTCACAAGCTGATTCCTTTGTTACTTGGCAGCT